ACTTTAGCGCGCACACACACTTGCACGTATGGATATACTCATTCGTGCTCCGTGCATAGTCCGTCATGTATTATAAGCGAATCTTGTGCGTTGGCCGGAAGGCGAGACTTTAGCAAAGTAGAAACGCACGCGCCAGCGCCGCCACAGCTCGCATAGCCGGTGCTGCTCTCTCTCTCTCTCTCTCTCTCGCTCTCTCTTTACGTGCATAATATATACGCACACTTTTGCACGCTAGCAAGCCCGAAGCCGGCTTCTCGCTTCTATGCGCAAACGTGCCACGGTGCGACTGCACAATCGCACTCGTTGTATGTGTATGGGTGTGCTCGAGTCTACTACCTTAGAGTCACTGATTCAATTGAACGCGAGCGCCACGTTCGAATTCGTCCTTACATCCTTGTTTTGCTTTTTCAGCCATTTTTTATGACGTAAACGCTTTACTCCACCAGAGATCTACGCATTTCGAGTCTTATCAATTTATTTTGAAAACGTCGAGCGATAAGACAACTCCGACAAATGCAATAAGGCGAGAGTATAATCTCTCTTTCTCTCTTTCTACTGCGTTGAATGCTGGCAGGATTTCTTTCGTAACTCTGATGCATTTTTCCGATTTCTAGTAAAAACAATGGAAAACTTGAAAAGAAATTATGCTGCGCGGATTTAGCGGATAATGTACTGAACGAAATAACGCAATAATGCAATAACCCGATCATCCAGATCAAGAGAGAGGGAGAGGGAGATGCTTATAAACCGCACAAGTCTTCTCTGTCGTCGCGTGCAATCTATCCGAAAATAGCTCTGTGTATATATAATAATGTTTGCTTATAGCAATAACAGCGTAAGCTCGACGCAGCGGCCTAGGACGGAAACGAGAGACTCGGGCGAGGAGGTGAGTGCATCAGCCGGACTGATGTTGCCTCTGCTGCCTGCCTTGTGTATATGGGGAATGAATCAACGCGCTTGAAACTGTGTACATAGGCACCAAGTTCCTCGTCAGCTAGCAGAAGAAACGAGCAGAGAGAGAATTTAGCCGAGAAGAAAAAGCGAAACTGTGTTGTAACTGAGCGCAATTCTAAAAGCATACATTATCATATACACACAGAAGAGCGTTCGGAGCCTAATGCTGAAAGGCTCTTGCGAAGCACACACCCGTTGCATCTATATCTGTGAATATACATTGAGCTTTGCTTGTAGGAAAGATATTTGACCTCGGGCTAAAGCTTCAGCTTCATTCATTTTTATTGTACATTTAGAGCTATTCGCGCAACTATGTGTGCTCTTATACAAGTCTTTTATAAACGAGTCTTTAACACCTTAGCTTTTTTGCTTCGAACTGTGCTTTAACGATTTTACATATACGTGTTATTGTAAAAGTAGGTTTTATAAGGAAACAAATCGCCCGGACATCCGCTATTAATGCGCTATATTTGTAAGCACGAGTGTTTTTCTGCGCTTCAATAATCATCGCGAAACTAAGTTTGATGTTTTTTTTTCTTTTTAAAATTGGCTCTGTTATTCACGAAGCTTTTTACCGTAGCTAAGCTTGTGCTTCGAAGCTAAAGCTCGCCGCAATTGCTTTATATACCGATTGAATCGCCAGCTGTTTACATTATCACAAAAGGAACTTGGCGAAACAATCGAACAATAAATCGAATGTGCTAAGCGCATATTTAGCGCATATCGTGGCGGCAAAGCGGTACCTTTTGAATTATGAAATAGACGCGATGCGAAGCAGTGCCATTGGCAATTAATCGTCGGAGCGAACCTATATCTACCTGCTTCTGCTCAATGCAGCATCGGCACCGCATATGTACAAGTCTGACTGAGCTGCATATAGGTATACGCGTAATCGCGCACGTCGTACTAAAAAGCAGCTATTCACAAGTCTTATGGTCTGATTACCGCTCGAGCTATGTGTGTGTAGGTGTGTGTGTGTGTGTGTGTGTGTGAGCATGCACGCCCAGGTGAATCGGTGCAGTAGTCTTAGATACTGAAGACAATCAGTGCAGGAAGTTCAGCGACTTCGAAGACACGCACACGAAGGCGCTTAGTTAGCACAGACGTACATTATGTACATACATATGAGAATCAGTTGTGCATGTACACACCCACGCGCTATAAAGCCTGCTTTTATGTTACATATTGCATGTTATAAGGTCAGATCATATAGCTAGACGGTGCAAATATATACACGCCAATCTAACGGCAAAAAGACAAGTGGACCGGATTTTAAGCGAATGCGAGAATTCTAGAAAAGCGTCCTACGCGCTCAATATCAGTTGCAAGTCGTATACATTTCGAGGCTTATCTCTGTCAGCTCATAAATTGCAACGTATGCATCGGAAGCCGGTATTGGTGGCAGTAGCAGCAGCAGCAGCAGCCGCGACACGCAGAGAATTAATTGTTAATGAATCACGAGCGCTTACTGGACTTTTTTTCTTGTAGCCTGAGCCACGTATACCCGTCACCGGGTATGCCATGTAAGAAGGTAGGCGCCGGTCTCTAATGCAGACCTTAACGACGGTTAACTGAGGAATGTTACGTGCTCGCCATCGTTTCGCTTTTTATATTCGGTTGCGCGAGCAACTCGTCCATGTTCTCGCGTAAGATCTGGTAATGAGGTGGCTATTAAGAATGTGTACATGAAACTTGATTGTCTCGTCAAAAATAATGTATTCTTTTTTTATTATACGAATTCGAATTGGATTGATTGATAAATGTTCGAGTACGTGGATTTTGCGCTCTTCCTGATATTCGTTTTTCGACCGTTGGATTATTAAACTGCATTTAGAGATAAAAAAAGTTGAGTATTTTAATTAAAACAGCTACGTTCGAACGATTAATAAGTTATATCGTGTCGATAGAGAGGCTAATATTATATTTCTTCGGGTGCATAAATAATAAATTGAAATAAGTGCGCTCTTGAAACGCGTGAGTGCACCAAGATATGCCGCTCATCTTCGTCAAGCTATTGCGCGCACATGTACGGTAGTTTTTTTCTTCTCACCGAAATGATCATCGAGGCGTGTCGAAAAATGCGAGCACTTAGTTATAGTTTTTAATACTTGGCCTCGAAATTGGCTTTTATTAGAGAAAATATTCATATGGCAAGGCAACGGTACCGAAGCCAAATTTACCTCATAAGCGTACGGATAAAGGGAGCTCGAATCGGACAAAATTGACGATCAAATCTGTACAAAAGTCTCGATTGCCTGTTAGTTCCAAAAGGACCGGGAAATTCTGATCCACGCAGATACACGTGCTGCTGTTGTAAGTCGTACGAAACGCATGTATATCTGCAGCTAAGTAATATCGGCGACAAGCGTGACTCAACTAGCCTCGCTCTCATTGATCCACCGGCTCTTTCATTAGCGTCCATCAAAGCCCTCGTTATCTCGGCTTTGAATCTATTTTTCCGCATTGAACTCGTAACGTGTGCCCCGCCGGTTTTGTAAATTACGATACCTATACGCGTTACGATAGTTTTACGCTGGCTTCTGGTGGTGCGCCACGCTATCTCCGGACGCTGCATGTGTGCGAATGCTACTGGACGAAATAGAAATTACACTAACGCGACGTAACACCTTGGTACACTCTCAAAGTAGGCTCGAGAATTTTTAACGATGAAAGTGCGCAGATTGAACCAAAACTTGGCCAACTGTTGTGCAATTCTTTCGTGTTGTTTCCTTACGTAACGAATGTCGAAAGATAGTATTAAAAAGTTACAATAGAAGAAATAAATTTGAATTCTCATTTTGATTTGCCCTCGCCGTTATAACGTCTACGAATTTTTTACATTTCCTTCGAGCCGTACCTTCCTTTCCACGTCTCTCGAGCGCGATACGACGCGCGAGTATGTAAAGGCGAATTACGCGAGTTACGCGAGTTTACAAAGGTTTTTTTCGTCTCCACCAGAGGCATCAGCGGCGAAAGAGCCTCGTCGTCGGGGTAAATCGAGAAAAGCTATTCCGGGTGTCGCGTGCGCACGGCGAGGAATGCCATACAAAAACAGAGGAGAAGCGAAAACGTAGAATTCGCAAACATCTTGGAAAGTTCGAGAGAAGCGAATAAACTTATGTGCACGCCGTGTATAAATTGCTAAACTCTGCGAACGAACTTGACGTATTTTTTAGCGCAGCTCGCTGTGCATGCGTTATCAATTATCATTTTGCGATCGATACGCAATATTTAAAAATTAGGTTTCGAATCAACGAGATGCAAAACCGGCTACGCTTTGCTAGCTTTGTAATTTAAACTTATATTTACAGCACGATTGCGCATTAAGATATTGTAATGATAAAAACTAATATTGTTTATAAAGTCGGATGTATTGAAAAATATCTAAATTCAGAACCAAGTTATATTGTGCTCGTTGAAAAGTATTTCAAGCATCTCGCGAGCAAGTGTACAAATTTTAAAAACCAACGCAGACATATCTTCTGTAATGTATGAGAAAAAATCGTACTAAGAATGCCGGCTGGTACCACGAAATTCCAAGACGTCACTCTGTGACTCGTCCTTATTACACCGTGAATTATCGAGTTAAAATATATTTAAAATGAGCATCGAAAGCGCCAAGGTCAGTGGAAGTCAATTCATTAAAAGTACACGTGCTGCCTTTGTAATGTATCCCCTCTATGCGTACAGTTATAACATCAACCATATTAAAAACAATACTTTTCTATAAAAAATTACAAGCTCTACTTATTGAGTTATACAATTATAAATTTTTGTGGATTATCAAATCAAAAAAGAACAACAGACAAGAGTAAAGGCCATATAAAAAATCATGACGATCAGAAAATCATGTTTTTCGACAATTCTGACACCGGGATTTAAAAGTACGTCAAATTTTAGCTAGAATAGTCATCTCAACAATTTTTTGAACAATTTCAAGTTGACATAATACATATGAAAATTATCGAAAAATAGTTGATTCGGGCGTTAAAGGGTTAATTCACTAAAATAAATACCATATAATGGTAATAATTTTTTAAACCTACCTTTAACCTCTGGAGGAAATTCTGCAACATCGTCAGTTTTGGTGGGCATTTTGATCATGAATTCATCCGGATAATTTTGAGCCATGGCTTGGTCTAATTTTTCGAATTCTTGCACATCGTCCACAACGTCTACGTTGGTCTCCGGTCCCAGATCGTCGTCATCTTCATCGTCCTCTTCGTCTTCCTCGTCATCTTCGTCATCGTCTTCGTCGTTGTACTTGGGTGGTTTCGGTCTATGCAAACCATTGACAGACTCGAGGAGAGAACCGTTGAAGACTTCCGCAGAGCCGTTCGGCTGAGCCTGGATCGGCGTCTTGGCGAACCCGTAGTCAACAAAGGGTTGCTGAGACTCGTGCTCCATGCCCCCGGACTGATCCATACTGACCGGTTCCCGGCTATTACTCGCAGCGACAAAATAACCTTTGGCGGCTATCTCAGCTGGTGATGTGAGAAAAACTACGATCACCGAGATATTATCCTCGCTCAAGTTCTGCTTTGCCCAGCCAACGAGTGCTTCGCTTGCCGAGTTGCTATCACCTGCAATAACAAATTTTCTTTATTATTCCGTGTAAAGATTTTATTTTATTACACATGTTGAATAAATTTAAATTAATGTCTGACATGCCAAGCGGTTGCTTTAATATTTATACACATCAAATATAGATTGTCTCTCAGTAAAAAACAAAAAACTGTACATTCGTATAAAAAGATGAATAAGCTATTTAATATTTTTTTCGTTGTATGAGCCATTGTTTAAATAAATGAATTTATTATTTCATACTTATTTAGTTTAATTTAATTTTTTTGGAAGAAGAATAATTGTTTGTTCTATTCTATTTACTTTTAATTGTTTTCTTTTAACCACCTTAAGACTACTACTTAATCTTAAAACAAAAAAGTGCATTTACAAACTCGTTCAATTTTTTTGTTGCCCATCCATAGTACAATATTAACGCACAGATTAATGGGTAATCGCAAGGAAATCCGCAAAGGATGTTCGCGAGATCTATATTCAAGGATTCGTCGTCTCATCAGGTCGAGTAAGTTGATTACTTTGTCTGACACATACATACGCGCGCATTTTGGATTTTGGTAAACCAGTTTGTGTGAAGGTCTAAGAAGAGGCTGCTATGGTGGAAGTAGCAATATCGCGATGAGCCGTAGAAATACTGTTTTTGAAAGCTTGTGTCGACAGCTTGTCGTCGAGCTTGTGTATGCGCTGTACTTGCTGCTAAAAATGACGTTCGGAAAATAAATGTGTCTCCATATACAGATCTGGCGCGAGCAAAATAAAGTGTGTACTCAAGTTCGAAGAGCTCGACGAATTCGTTTCATTGTGAAATTTCGTCGTGCCACTCGATAAGCTTTACTTGACGTTTTTTAAATAACGCCAATTGCTCGTAAACCTGAATCTCCAACTCGAAACAAAAAAATAACAAACCTGTTTGAAGAGTTTTCTTTGTTTTCAATTGCCTAATACGTCAACATTTTTATTATTTAATTTAATTTTAATTTAAAATGTTTGCTACAAATTTATCTATTCAATAAAAAGATAGCGTTAGAAAACGGATGAGAAAAGAGAATGAAAACCTCTCCAAAAAAGCGAACTTCATCGTAAGTACTTATGCATCACCTTTATCACTGATGGCTCAACTTGAAATCTGCATTAATCACGAACCTGCCTGAAAGTTGTAAATAAAAAAGTCGACAATCGTAACGAGAGATCACTCGCGATATTTAGCATTTACTAAGATTGCCATGTAGAAAAGTTTCCTCAATTTTGGCGAATGCTACATGAATTTGCCTCAGATAAATGAAATTAGGGATGGGTAGTATCTGATATTTAAACGCTTGGCGCTTTAACTTCTGAATTTTTCAAGCTTTATTGGTTTTTAACATTTGCAATTTTATCTTGGTAAGCTAGATGGTGCACAAAAAAATAACCCACGAAAGCCATTTTTGGAAAGCTTTGGCCTCTGCACAATTCATAAGAATTTTTACAACGTCGTGAGCGTCAGCAATTTAGATTCATGATATTACATGAAGAGTAGCGAGATATAAATAAGATATTTAATAGTAGTCGTGTACTATCTTGAGAAGAAAAGAGAGAACAGCCGGTGTTTGTAACATAAGAGACTCGCAATACCGCGCTTGCAATGCCTACCAGATCCCAAAGAAGCATGTTTTACGCCTTTCTTGTATCATAAAATGTTTGATACGATATATCTTACAAGTTCTGGATAAGCTTACAGCGTTCTAGTTCATTTTTTTATAACTTTGAGCGTAACTTTTATTTGAAGGAACCAGAGTTAAAATGAAATTATTCAATTCAACCTCCACGTTTGTTGCACAAAACATCTTTCAATGCTTTATATCTTTTATGTATTGTTTCTTACTTCTAGCATTCGATTCAGAAAAAAAATTAATTTACGACTTACTTATACAACAGGATGGCAATGACCTTTTTGGAAGTTTTCGGTATTTTAGCACGGGAGCACCGTTAATGGCACCTGTTTGCTGTAAGTAATTGCATAAAGAATGTGCCGTGCATAAATTTCATGATTGGGGTCGAGAGAGGAGTACTATTTAATATTTCACACTCGCATTTTATAGTTTACCGTGAAAAATCCGTTACCGAGAATTTACGTAAAAAGAATAACAATCGATCGATTCGCATGGTAGTAGAAGAGCCATTAAATTGAAAAAATGAAGAAATTTTTAAATTCTTTCAGTATTTGACAATTAGTAAATAATGCGTAAAGTAAATTGATAAATCTTTTTAATAAAACTATTCATCTTCATATTGTTTTTATGCTTTAAGGTTGTCTTTGACAGAATGTTGCCTTCGCCATTGGCATTCGAAAAGACAAAATGCCGGGTGACTTTTCACCTGGAGCCTACAGCTGCACAGCCCTCCCAAGAGCGCAACGGGCTTGATTCTAGATTCGTGGCGCGTACACCAGAAAACCTCGAGCGTCCGCGCGTACTTTTGCGCACGTAGGATCAACAGTAGCGCTACGCGTGTTCAGACTTTGATTTATTACTGACGCAACTTCCTCCTCCTCTTTTTGCTTTTTCCAATGCGAAATACCACAGACAGATATGCGATCTCATACGTGTAATAAAGCTGAAAAAGCTGTGCCGACTTTCCGTATCCATATATTTATGCATTGAATTCATATGAATGTATCATTATATATTATTTATTTTATATATAATGTAATAATATTTCAAGGGTTAGATAGGGTGTCTGTCAGTTATAATGTACACATTTCAAAGTGATCAAATTGGATTCGAAGAGCTTATCCATATCACGAGCTATGCAATTGTTATTCAATTTTTACAGGATATACAATCTTTTCCGAAGCGTTGTTCAATTACGTATGAGTAAAAGATCGATATGAAAATAATCAAGTAAATAAGAGAAGACAATCTATCTGAAAATCTTAAAGCTGAAGATTTTCTTCGTTATTTCAGTCAGATTAAAAAGCTTCTGCTGCAAGCATCGTTATTCCCTTAATACGGATGATTCGATATAATTTCATTCGAGTCATGCGATAAAACAATTCTTCTTTTTTTCAAATGCAGAAGAAATTTTTATAAAAGCAAACGATGGCTTCTATTTATATTTTTTTCGCGCGATAAGCAATTTCGATTTTATTTGCAAGCATTATCCGAAAAATTATGTCACATATCATTTGATAATTTGAAAGGGAAATCAGAAACTTGATTAAAAGCAGTGAGTGATGAGGGTGACGTGAGTGAACATGTCGGCCGAATATTTCAAGCAGATGATAGGTTTAAAAATTTAAGTCTAAGAGGGTTGTGCGCTATGTGCAGTCCCGTATAACTTGTATTGTAAGATTGCGTCTTATGACCGCTAAGAGGATTTCGGTAAATCAAAGCTTCAATGCAATATGATGAATTGCGCGTTTAAATGGTTAAAATTTTGGCCAACGTTTTTAACTTCATCTATATCAAAGCAAGTGATTCGAAAGTAGCACTGCACAATGTCTACAAAATCTCAGTAATAACAGCGTATGTCGGATGTAAACACCCAAAGTAAATCGAGTAGGCGAATTTATACACGCCCAAGCAAATCCTTAAACGATAACACGTAGATCGATCGATGTACCGAAATTGTGAAATTTGACACTAGTCATTGTATTACATATCTGTGGTAAAAAGACAAAACGATTCAAGTCAATTTTTTGGAAATCGATATTGCAATGGAAAACATCTATATATTTTCTCTACTTTAAGGTACAAGGGCCAGAATAGACGAGTATAGCTTCTATCGTTTATTTCAGCATCATCCATCTAACGACTCAGATCCACCTTTTTATGCTTTAAAGCACAATGAAAAGCTGATCCATGATTAGTAATCCCGCACCATATATATTATTGAACTTGCACGAACGAATCTGATATTATGTATACGAAACGTCAATGCATGCTGACGTTGCTTTGACAACCGAATGGATTATATCAATCTGCTGCGCTGTAAACGCATGCGCCACGCAGCCGGCGAGACCCATTCGAGCTCATCAGTTGGATTATACATTTTGGATCCGCTTCAATACCTTCAGCGTGACTCGATGTCATATTATCGTCACTTTAATAAGGCTTTGACCAATGTTTTTTCAGTTGAAAAAAGTTAAGGCTATAAAGTAAGAGTTTTGCGATAATTCAGTAAAAAAAATTGTGCGATTCCACAAGACTGAAACAGTGATGCGAAGCGTCGTAATGTTTTTCTGGACTTGCTTCTCTATATCCTCAATATTACAAAGCAGATGGAACAACGTTATATTTTTACCCTAGCAACGCGATGACTTCACTTCTTCGCGCGTGCCGACTGACTAATCCACTGCGTGGTGGATAGCCGTCCGTCTGTTTGATTGCGCCCCAATAGTCTGCCGGTCTCATACACGTACGTGGATTCGTGCTTTTTCCCTGGCTTTGCTCACTCGGTGACCCTCCCTCGAAGTCGACATTAATTTATACCCCCAGCCCTATTATCGTCATACGACACGCGTTCGCGTGAGCTGAGTGCTGAGTTTGCTTGACGCCACCCGTATTTATATTATACATATCAAATAGATAAGCCAGCGCGAACGAAGCTTTACTATTTGCTTCTTCGCTTTCTCGAGTGTCATTTCATTGTCGTGAATTACATAGCCATGTGTTTAATTGGGGTATGTTTTTATACATGAGATAGCTCGGTCCAATCTTTAATTAATATCACAAACTGCATTCACATTTTGAATCTTGATATAATCAACTTTTAAAACATGTTCGTCGGCTTTTTGATCATTTCAGAATAACAAATTATAATGTAAAAATCAAAATTAATTATTTAACAAGATGATTAATAAGTAATTTCTAAGTAAATGTTAAAACGAATCCCAAAGTTGTCTACTGCAACAAATTTTGATAGTATTTTGTTAACGGCTAATTATAAGAAAATTCATACAACACTAAAATTTCAATCATTTGTTAATGGAATCGAAATACAACGCGTAAGCGATCATTAATTT